AGCTCTTCAGACAGGGATTGGACTGGATTGTGGGACATAAAGTGATACTCATGAGGCATGTGCCTCTTAGCTCAAGCAGATACAAGAGACTAAACGGGCAGCTTCTGTCCGGAGGTGAGATGGGAAGGCAGAGAGGGTTAGGAGCTGGTTGAATGGACATGGGGAATCAGAGGTGGAAAGGAGGAGTATGCTGTCATAGTATGGGGAGAGAATTAGAGTCACATAACAATGTATGTATAAATTTTTGTATGGGAAAAATGATAAATGGGGGTGTGGGAGGAAAAGCGGTTGGAATTCGGGCCTCACGGATGAACGGGATTGGAAGAAGGCATGGTGACCTGTGTATGTTTTTATTTCATAAACACATGACAAGTTATACACATATATCTTCTTGTTGGAAGGAAAAACTATTTTCAAACGGGACGTATCCAATCTGCCGAGTGGAACACCTTCATCCTTACCTGCTGTCTTCATCAAAGGTCTTTTTTCCAAAGTCCTTTCCGTTTTTCAGAGCCCTGGTGGTACAGTGGTTAAGAGCTCAGGTTACTAACCAAAAGGTAAGCAGTTCGAATGTATCAGCCGGCTCCTTAAAAACCCTATGGGGCAGTTCTACTCCATTCTGTAGGGTCACTATGAGTCAATCTACTCTACCGCAGCCGGCTCTTTAGGATTTTCTCTTTTTCTGTGCATTTCCATGACACGTGCACCTCTCCTACATTTACAGTGTGCTTTTCCTGTTGACGAAACAATCGTGACATAACATGTTTCAAAAATGCATTTTTGAAAACCGCTCCGGCCCGGCACCAGTGTGACTGGAACTAAGACTAAGGAGGAGGATACGTGTCAATCCCTGCCCCTCTGCACCCCAGGTCCCTGCGCGTGCGCGCTGCAGCAGACCCAGCTCCCTGGGACGCTCTATTACTGGGGCGGTCCCGGGTGCCCCCGGGCAGCCGTCCTGCAGAAAGGGGCGTGCTCGGGGCGGAGCCGGAACGTGTTTCGCAGGGGCCGCGCCCCGGGCGGGCACAGTTACCGCTGCACCGATATGGCGGCAGCCGCACTGGGGCAGGTGGGTTCGGGACCCCGGGCTGGGGGGCTCCGAAACCCCAAGGGGAGGCGCACTTCCTGGAGGGACCACTTGGCGTGCAGCCCGCCCGGCTTGGCGCCGCTCCTCTGGCCCTTGGGTTCTGCTCTGGTGCGCGGAGGAGGCGGGGGTCCGTTGGAAAGGAGCCCGAGGCTCTTTAATGGGGTGGTTGAGTAGGCTTGGAAGAGGTGGAACAGATGATTAGTGGGGAGGGGACTCGGAAGGGGAGACAGGAGGAAACATGGAGGAGGGGACAGGGGATGGGGGTAGGGCTGTGATGTGGGAGTGTTAAGGGGGTGCGGATTAAGGAGGGAACCACCAACCTGTGGGGGCGCCGGGATAAGGGGCCCAGGATTCTAGGGTTATGGGTAGGATGAGGGTACAAAGCCCAGCCTCAGGTCTAGCCTGGTAAGTGGACTCAGAACCCCATTTCTTTGGCACTAAAGGTTAAGTTAGATGTGGAATGTTGCATCCCAAGCCCCCTCTCCTGAGGCTCTGCACTTGGGTTGGAAATCGAGGCTGCTTCTCTGTGTCAAAGTGACATAGATCCTCCAGGTGACATAGATCCTCCTGGCAAAAGCGAGACATTCTGTCCTTACGGAGATGATGTCAAATAGCCAGCTGAGTCTGGTTTTAGAGAACAAGGTTTCTCAGGGAGAAAGGAAACAGTAGCAACTCCAAGAAGGAGGTGAATGTGCTGGTTTGGTAACCTTGGGAGAAGCGAGCCTTTCCTGTTCATTTTGCTCTTGACTGTGTCTGGTGTGTTCTTCCCAGTCTGATAAATGTTGTTGTTGTTGGGTACCCTCGGTTTCTACTTATAGCGACCCCATGTAACAGAGTAGAACTGCCCCATACAGTTTCCTAGGCTGTAATCTTTACGGGAGCAGATCGCCAGGTGTTTCTCTTGTGTAGCTGCTGGGTGGGCTTTAACTGCCAAACCTTTCAGTTAGCAGCCACCAGGGATCCTTGTCTGATGAATAGCAGGGAAGAATTTTACTTTCTCAGACTGATCTGATGTTTACTTTCTTAAAATCTTGGTGGCTGTAATTGAGACAGAGTCCTGGGCTATGACAGGGACAGTCTGGGCTTTGATGGTGACACTCCTGGGCTGTGGTTGGTGATAGACATGGGCTTTGACAGGTACAGTTTGGGGTTGTGTTGTGGAGAGTCCTGGGTCGTCATGGGACAGTTCTGCTATAATGGGACAGTCCTGGGGTCTGATGAGTTTTGGGCTGTAATGAGGACAGTCTGGGGCTATGATGTGGAGAGACCTGAACTAGGATGAGTACACTCCTGGATTGTAATATGGGGACATTCCTGGGGTGGGAAGGGGACAGAGCTGGGCCATGGTGGGGACAATCTTGCAGGGACTGGCCTGCACAGTGATGTGGGGGATAGTTCTGGGCTGTCATGGGACACACTGGGTTGGTGAAGTGGACATTCCAGATCTGTGATGGGAACACTCCTAGCAGGTCACCAGGATGGTCATGGGCTGTGGTAGGGACAGTACTGGGCTGTGATGGGGACTCTCCTGGGCTGTGATGTGGGGACAGTCCTGGGTGTGAAGGGGACAGTGCTGGGCTCTGGCAGGAATGGTGACATCCTGGGCTGTAGTGGGAGGACAGTCCCAGGTTGAGGTGGGGGCAGTCCTGGGCTGAAATGGGACATAATGGGGGCTCCATCATATTACAGAATCCTGCCCTATGCATCCCTCCTCCCTTTATCCTTTTTCATTTCTTAATTCAGCCCCAAGGAGCCCTGGTGGCCCAACAGTTAAATGCTTGGCTGCTAACGGAAAAGTTGGCGGTTGGAACTCACCCAGCGGCTCCATGGAGGAAGACCTGGCAATCTGCTCCTGTAAAGACTACAGCCAAGAAAACCCTATGGGACAGTTCTACTCTGTCACATGGGGTCACCATGAGTTGGAATTGACTCGATGGCACACTACCACAACAATTCAGCCCCAATCCTTTTACACCCTTTGTCCCAATAGCCCAGGTTTGGGGTTGGGGGTGTCAGAAAATCTGGGTCGCCTCTGGACCCAATTCCTATAGTTTGAGGTGTCAGAAAGGCCGTCTGGGTGGCGCAAATAGTTAAGCACTCAGCTACTAACTGAAAGGTTGGCAGTTTGAGTCCACCCAGAGGTGCCTTGGAAGAAAGGCCTGTCAATCTACTTCCAAAGGGTCACAGCCTTGAAAACCCTATTTAGCAGTTCTACTCTGACACACATGGGGTTGCCATGAGTCTGGGTTGATTTGATGGCAATGGGTTTGGTTTTTGGTTTTTTGGGGTGCCAAAATGGTGGGGCACCTTTCCTGAACTGACACCACTGTTCCTAGACTAATACCCCAGGAGGAGGAAGGCAGCTTCTCCCAGCCTGATAGGGTCTTTGGGGCCACCAACCAACCAGTTGCTGTCGAGCTGATTCCAACTCATGGTGACCCCATGTGTGTCAGAGTAGAACTGTGCTCCATAGGGTTTTCAGTGGCTGAGTTTTCGGAAATAGATCACCAAGTCTTTCTTTCAAGGCACTTCTGGTGGACTCAAACCTCCAACCTTTTGGTGAGCAGCCGAGCATGTTAACTGTTTGCACTACCCAGGGACTCCCTCTGGGACCAGAAGGGGCGCTGTGCTCAGTGCCTTCTCTCTGCCTCATTGTGGGAGTTAGCTTTTCTGCCTCTCACCTTCTTTCCCTCTCTCCCATTGTCTCTGTCCCTCAGCATCTCTGACCGTTTCTCCCCATTGCCTTTCCCAGTCTTTTCTCATTTCTCTCAACCTCCCTGCCACTCTGTGCTCTGTCGCCTGAAGTCTAGGACTTGCTCTGTCTCCCCCTTTTCCCCTTGTTCTTTCCCTCGTGGCTTCTCTTTATCTGGCCCTCAGTACTTTTTCTCCATTTCTCTTGCCTTCACTTTCTTGCCGAGTTGGTTTTTCTCTCTCTTTGTCTTGGCCTGTCTCTCTCCCTCTCTATAACCACATCTATTTTGATAGCTCTCGTCCTCACTTTCTCTTCCTTTCAGTTTATGTTTTTCATTTCTGTGTCTCTACCTTTTTCTTCATTCTTCCACTTCCCTCTCGTACTCTCTTTTAGTTTTTCCATTCTGGCTCTGTGTCTGTCTCTGTTCCCTCTGAGGGTTGCTCTCCTGCCCACATGCTGGCTGTCCCCATCCTGTGTGTCTGTCCTCCCTCCACACTGTGGGTATTCTTTCCCTTCCTGGACAGAAGCATGGCCACAGGGTTGTGCTGGGCACATTTCGCCACCTAGAGGTGATGCTGTATGCTCACGCACTGATCCTTCCAGAAGCCCTTGGGCTCCACCCCCTCCTAGACCACACCTCAGGCTTGATAATCCAGTCTTTAGGACACAGCAGGACCACAGCCCTTGCCTCCCTTACAACTCACCTCCTGGCCAGAGACCACCGCCACTCATGTCGGTTCTCACAGGGAAGGAGCAGGCTGGGCTGCTCTGTCTCCCCCAGCCTCACAACCACCACCAAGCTGCCTCTTGCAGCTACGAAAAGGGAGATTATGAGGTCAGGACACTGGGCAAGGGCCACCCTGCTGAACACAGCCAGATCTGCTCTCTTCCGCTTGCTTCAGGCAAAGCCAAAGGGGAGGGTGCACATGAGCATAGTCTAGTGAAGGCTGAGGTGGCCCCCAGCACCCCGGATAGCCCCTACTTCCATGGGAGCCCTGCAGCCACAGGGCTCTGATGGGAATTGGAATCTCTGCCAAAGTGGTATTCAAAGTGTGGGGTTAGGGGCTTCAGACAGTCTCAGAGCCCAGTCAATGCCCTAATACCCTGAAAGAATAAGGACTTGGACTCCTAGGTCTGGGGGAGGAGAGGCTCGAACTCCTGGGTCTAAGGGAGGAGGAGGCCAGGGGCCCGGACTCCCAGGTCTGAAGGAGGAAGGGGCTGGGGGTCCCAGACTCCTGGGTCTGAGGGAGGAGGGCCCTGGGGGTCCCAGACTCCTGGGTCTGAGGGAGGAGGGGGCTGGGGGCCTGGACTCCTGGGTCTGAGGGAGAAGGAGACTCGGGGGTCCCGGACTCCTGGGTCTGAGGGAGGAGGGGCCTGGGGCGCAGACTTCTGGGTCCTGGGGAAGCATCACCTGTAGGCACCTCACTTTTCTAACTTTTGTCAGAGTTTGGGTCCCTGGGAGGCCTTCACTTACCTGTGCACCTTCCCTCATCGTCATCTCGTCTGAGCTGGTCACAAGGCTGGGGCCAAAGTCCCTGGGGTGGGAAGGGTGGGAGGCGCCAGTGTTTGACTTTGCCCAGTGTGGAGGAGGGAGAGGAAGGAGAGGGATGCTGACTCAGCTCTTTCCTGGGGATGGCCTTCGACTTGGCCTCCTTGAGGAATCTCTCCCCCTACACACTGATCAGATAGGGCAAGGGACTTGGCCAGGATGCACTGGGCCTGGAACAGAGCAGGCCAGAGGGGCCACCCGAGGGCAGGAGGTGGCCAAGGGGGTTTCCAGGGCCCACAGCTTTCTCCCACTGTCAGCCCCACCTCCTTTTTTACTTCTCTTCCCAGCCCCAGACTTGGGCCCGAAAACTTCTCCCTGTCCCTTGGCTTCTGTGTGGTTCCAGAAGATGCGTCTCCTCCAGCTTCAAGGTAAAAAGAGGGGCCCGGACTCCTGGGTCTGAGGGAGGAGGGGCCGGGATCCCTAGGTCTAAGGGAGGGGCGTCTGGGGGCTGGATTTGGGCATCTCCAAAAGGTCCAGGGCCCAGAAGTGATAGGTGAGTGGCAGTGGGATAGTCTAATAGCCTGCCATCTGGCAGTAGGAACGAGAGGGAACTGCATTTCCCAAAAGGCTCTGGGGCTACAAGCTCCTCTTCTCTATGGGGCTGTGACCCAGGGGTTCATGGGAGTTATAGTTTTTCCATTTGGAGGCTGAAGCCAAGTTCCAGGACACTCTTGTTCCCCCGTCTTTTCTCAGGCTACAGACCTACATCTGGAAATGACACAAGAGCCTCATAAGAAGCCCAACCCCAGCGAGCCCCTGGTGTTTGGAAGTACATTCACCGACCACATGCTAATGGTGGAATGGACCAGGGAGAAGGGCTGGGGCCATCCCCAAATCAAGCCCTTCCAGAACCTCACGTTGCACCCGGCCTGCTCAGGCCTCCACTACTCCCTGCAGGTGGCGAGGCACCAGCCTCTTTCCTCTTCCTGCCTGGCATCTCTTGCCCCCTGCTGTGCTTCCCCCATCCCCTTGCTCTATCTTGTTGGTTGGATCCACCTTGCTGGGTTTGTTCTTTGTGTGTTTCTTCTTCCTGTGCATCCACCATCCCTTTCCGAGCCCTCCCATATTCTAGGCTTTTTGCTGGGTGATGCTGCCTTCCCCAAGCTGAACAATCCCATTTCTTTCACTTGAATACCCCACATTTTGCTTACAACCCAGTATGGTCTGTGTGCTATGGACACAGCTGAGGCATTGTGAAGGCCAGAGAGACTCCTGATCCCTCCTCTAACTGGAAAGAAAATGAGGCCTCTCTTGGTAAAGAAGGGAGCTTGACGGTCTTAGGGGGAGAGGGGAGAGCCAGTACAAAGTGCTTGAGAAGAGAAGAGCTAGGCAGATTTTGGGAGACTGGAGGATTGAAGGAGGAAGCCAAGCACATCATCGAGACCACGCAGGTGCTCAGAGGAAGGAACTTTTCCTCACATCCGGGGAACCATGGAGGACTGTGAATAGGGCCAGCTCTGGGGTTAGTAAGACCTCTCTAGGGCCGTGTGGAGGATGAGTTGGAGGAGAGAGGCTGGAGGCCAGGAGGAGGCTGGGCCAGAGTCCAGGCAGGAGAGGATGAGGCTTGATCTGGGCTGGTGCTGTGGGGATGGACATGAGGGGACAGTGCAGAGAAACTGAGGGACATAAGGGTCAGACAGGCTGGGACAGGGGGAGGAGGGAGGGAAGAGTGAAGATGCAGTTGGGGGTCTGGCCAGGTGATCAAGTGGACTGTGACTGTCCTCAAATGGGGACCCAGGTGGAGGAGCAACTTCATGGGACGGGTGAGTGTGAGGAGCCTGTTTGGTTTCTAGGAGAGAGATCCAGGAGGCGTTTGGTATAATGACTTAAAGCTATGGCCAAAAGCAGTCTTTTTTTTTTTTTTTTTTTTTTCATTTCAAAAGCAGAGGAAAATTTTGTTGAGATGAGATTTAGATGCTCATGTTACAGCTCCAGTAATTGGTTTGCAGTTTGGGGTTATTTTTGTCCTCCAGGGCATGGTTCTATGGCATTGGGCATCATGTTAATTTTTCTCTCTCTGTTTTAAATTTAATAATTTATTTTATTTTTGTTGTTGTTGAGAATATACACAGCAGAACATACACCAGTTCAGCAGTTTCTACAGTTGAACTACAGTTGTACAGTTCAGTGACATTGATTACATTCTTGAAGTTGTGCAACCATTTGCACCCTCCTTTTCTGAATCTTTCCTCCTCCATTTACATGAACTCACTGCCCTCTAAGGTTCCTGTCCAAACTTTCGAGTTACTGATGTCAGTTCCATCCCATATAGATCAATCTTTAAAAGGTCACAATGCTCAAGGCTAACATGCTTTACTAATTAAGCCAAACTATTGTTTGGTTTAAAGAAGACTTCAGAGATATTTTTGGTTTAAAGTTTAAAGATTATCTTAGGGCAGTAGTTTCAGGGATTCATCCAGTCTCAATGGCTCCATCAAGTCTGGATTCCATGAGAATTTGTGATTCTGTTCTGCATTTTCCCTCTGTTGATCAGGATTCTTTTATAGAATCTTTGATCAAAATGTTCAGAATTTTGAGAATTTTTTTTCACCTACTACTGGACATTGAATTAGTTCCAGTGGATTCTGTACAGAGGAGACACACCTTGGGTAGCAGTTAGATACTAAGGCAGGCATCAAGGACAGTCAGAATTATGCTCGCTGATCCCCCAGGAAGGTGGTTCCTTGGAGATCACTATTTATTTTCCTCTCCATTCCATCCACCACAGCCAGGTTGTCCTTCAGCCTGGGGACCCAGTATTTTTTCTTCTGCTGAGTGAACACAGAGGAGGTATTGGGCTTAGAGGCCCTGGCGTACAAAACATACATTTCTGTAATGCCTGGACTCTTATATGGGGGAACTGAGGCCAGCTGAGGGCACAGGAGAGTCATGTCCCCATGTCACCCTTACTCTAATGCATGCTGGAATAGCAGGAAGACTACTGTATTTTAATTATTTTTTTATTATTACAGTAAAATACATATAACATGAAAGTTACCATTTTAAGCCATTTTAAAGTGTACAATTCAGTGACATTAAATATATTTACAACGTTGTGCAACCATCACCACTGCCTAGTTCCAGAACGTTTTCATCACTCCAAATAGAAACTCCATACCCATTAAGTAGTCAATCCCCATTGCCTCTTCCCCAAGCCCTTGGCAACCACTAATCTACTTCCTGTCCCTATCCACCTGAATTATTTTTCACATTATTTTATTTGGAGTGTGTCTTATTTACCTAGTGCTATTGTAACACAAATGCCATAAGTGGATGGCTTTAAAGAATAAATTCATTTTCTCACAATTCTGGAGGCTGAACGTCCAAATCAGGGTCATGGCCGTGTCAATTCCTTCCTTGTTGGTTGCTCCTGACATTCTTTTAGAAGATTATCACAAAGCATGTATCTTCCCCCCTGGTGTGTCTCTGTGTTTATTCTGGTCTTTTTATAACTCAGAAGTGATTAGATTTAGGACCTGTCCTACCCTGGTGTGCCTTCATTAACATAATATAAGTAAAATCCTATTTCCAAACAGGACCACATTTACAGGTACAGGGGTTAGGATTTAACACATATTTTGGGAGGCCACAACTCAATTCATAACAGTCTTTTTTGTTTTTTTAATTTTGTTGTTATTGAGCATATACTCAGCAAAACATACACCAATTCACCATTTCTACATGTACAATTTAGTGACATTGATTACATTCTTCGAGTTGTGCAACCATTCTCACCTTCCTTTTCCGAGGTGTTCCTTCCTCATTAACATAAACTCACTGTCCCCTAAGGCTTCTATCTAATCTTTCCAGTTACTGTTGTCAATTTGATCCCATATAGTTTTTAAAAGAGCATAATGCTCAAGGCAGACTTTTTTTTTTTTACTAGTTAAGCTAAACTACTGTTCAATTTTACGATGACTTCAGGGGATGTTTTTGGTTTAAGGTTTAAAGATTATCTAAGGGCAGAGTGTTTTTTAACTAAAAACATCTTAAAAAATGGGTCATATATTCGCACAGTTTAAGTCAAAATGTACAAAAGGGGATATACTTTTCCCATATCCAGCCACTTTGTAGCCCTCCCAAGAGGCAACCTGTTACCAGTTTCTGTGTCCTTTTAGAATGCTTCTTTCTGGATGCAGACATTGATGCATATAATTTTTTCCTCTACACTCCACTCTTTCCACACAAAAGGTAACATACTATACTCTCACTATTTGGCAGCTTGCTTTCTACCTTTCCTGTATCTTGGAGATTTCTTCTATAGCAGCTCTTGAAGAGCTTTTTCCTTCTTTATTACTGCTGGGTTGTATTTCATCCCAACAATGCACCTCAGTTAATCAGTCCCTTATGTTGGACTAGTAGGTTGTTTCCAGTTTCGTGCTATTATAAACAATGTTGCAATTAGTAATCTAGTGCAGGCATCGCTCCCTTTAAATGCAAGTGACAGCAACAACTACAAAAGAGTAGCTGCTGAGGCTGCTTATGTGTAACCAAAACCTCATGGGATTTGGTTCCTTGGTTTGGAGGCTTAGGATCATTGTTGCATGGGACATCCCAGTTAATTGGCCTCATAATGTGTTTAGTACTTCTCTTCTACCTCCTAGTTCCTTGCATAGTGCCTGAGGTCTTAAAAGCTTGGAAGCAGCCATCCAAAGCATGACAGTTGGTTTCTGTTTGCCTGGAAGAAACAGAGGAAGAGAGTCAGGAATAGGAGTAGGATATGGAATGTATGGCTAATTACCTCCTAGAACAACTGCTTCCTTTGACATGAGACTGGAACTGGATGGTGCCCGGCTACCATTATTGAACGTTTTGATCAAAGATTCTATAGACGAATCCTGATCAAAAGGGGGAAAATGCAGAACAGATTTACCAATTGTCATGGACTGCAGATGAACAGCTGCTCCATGGAAACCCTATGGGGCAGTTCTACTCTGTCCTATAGGGTCACTATGAGTCGGAATCTACTTGACAGCAACACGTTTCGTTTTTTTGATTTTTGATGACTCAGTAGTTAAGTACTTGGCTGCTAACTGAAAGATTGGTGGCTCAAACCCACCCAGCAGCTCCACGGGAGAAAGACTTGGCAATCTGCTTTCCATGAAGATTACAGCCTAGATCAAAATGGGGAAAATGCAGAAGAGAATTTCAGATTTTCATGGACTCCAGACTTCCTATAGCCATGAAGATTGGATGAACCCCTGAAACTATTACCCTGAGATAGCCTTTAAACCTTAAACCAAAAATATCCCCAGAATCCTGAGGTTCACCCTTCAGCCAAAGATTAGACAGGCCCACAAAATAAAATGAGATTAAAGGGGCACACCAGCCCAGGGGCAAGGACTAGAAGGCAGGAGGGGACAGGAAGGCTGGTGATTGGGAACCCAATGTGTATGTATACTAATTGTTTAATGAGAAGCTAGTTTGTTCTGTAAACCTTCATCTAAAGTACAATAAAAAATACATGTATCCCTAGAAGCATTCTTAAAACCAAACAATTGTTCAACTTAACTAGTAAAAAAATGTCTGCCTTGAGCATGTACTCTTTTAAGAACTATCTATATGGGATCAAATTGATAACAGTAACTCCATAGATTAGGTAGGAACCTTACAGGGGCAGTGAGTTTATGTTATGGGGTAGGAACAACTCAGAAAAGGAGGGTGAGAATGGTTGCACAATTCAAAGAATGTAATCAATGTCACTGAACAGTACTTGTAGAAATTGTTAAATTGGTGTATGTTTTGCTGTGTATATTCTCAACAAAAACAAAATAAAGTTAAAAAATATATATATCCAATAGAAAAAAAAAAGCAAGTGAATCTGTCAGCTCAGTTCCTAGAACTGTTGGGTCAAAGCATAGGTGCCTTTGTAATTTTGAAAGATATTGCCACATTTATCTCCGTAGAAGTTGTGTTAAGTTCTACTTCCACCAGCAGAAACTGCTTCCCGTGCCCTAGACAAGGCTTGTCAAACTTTTTAAAAATCTTTTCCAGTCTCCCAAGTGGTTTTAGGGGAACCCTGATGGCACAGTTGTGAAGCACTGGGCTGCTAACCGAAAGGTCACCGGTTTGAACCATCAGCAGCTCCAAGGGAAAAAGATGTGGCAATCTGCTTCCATAAAGGTTACAGCCTTGGAAACCCTGTGGGGCGATTTTACTCTGTCCTACAGGGTTGCTATGAGTTGGAATTGACTTGATGGCAACGGGTTTGGTTTGGTTTAAGTGGGTTTAAAGGTATCTCAAAGTCATTTTGATTTGCATTTTCCCCCAATTATGAGTGAAGTTGAGCATCCTTTTTGCAAGCTTAAAAACCGTTTGTATTTCTTTTATTGTAAACTGTCCATTTTCTAGGCTTATTTTGTTATCAGGTTGTGTTTTTAAAAACTGATTTATAAAAAAGAAAATTGATTTGTAGGAACACTTTATATTTTAGTGAAGTAACCTTTGTGATAGGAGTTGAAAATTTTCCTCTGGTTTGTGTCATGTGGAAAATGTTTTATTTTTCTATAGTCAGATGTATCAGTTTTTTCTTTTTTAAGCTACTATGATTTATCATATTTAGAACCATCTCAATCCAAGATATGAAACTGTTATCTTGTTTTTTTTTCTTCTACAGTTTGTATGGCTTAATTTGTTCTTTTTTTTTTCATTTAAATCTTTAATCTACCTGGAGTTTTTCCTAGTGTGAGGTATGAGGTAGGGATCCAATTTAATTTTTTTTTTTTTAATCTAGATGGATATTTGGTTGTCCCAGCACCGTTTATTGAATTATTCATGTTTTCTCCCATTGATTTATAATGTTTTCTAGTCTATTCCATTGTGCAATATACCAGTGTCACTTTGTTTTAAGTATTACAGGCTTATAATTTTTTTAAATATCTGATAAGGCTATTTTCTCCCCCCCACACACCATACACATACACTCCTCTCACCTCTTCTTCCCTTTCTTTTCAAAAATCTCCTGGCAAATTTTGCTTGTTTTTCATTTTTATTTCATTCCTTTATTCAGCAAATACCTATGACTGCCCAGCACTGCTCTGGGCATAGGGATGGGGGTGGGGGGGTTCTGGTGACCATATCAGCTGTGGTCCCTGCCCTGAGGGCACTCTCGAGGCAGCAGTCAGACACCCTGATCTTTCTGTGGGTGAAGGCTACACCATGAATGATGCAACATTTAAGCTGAGAGATGAGTTGGAAGAAATGAGGAGAAGTGAGGACAAGTTTCCTACCAGAGGCCCCAGCAAGTGCAAAACCTGGGCTTAGGAGGTGCCTAGGAGCATCTAGGAGAGGATGAGGCCATGGTAGCAATAGTGGGGGACAGTGGGCAGAGAAGGAGCCCTGGTGGCGCAATGGTTAAGCACTTGGCTGCTAACCAAAAGGTCAGCGGTTCAAACCCACCAGCCACTTAACTGGGAGAAAGGTGTGGCAGTCTGCTTCCGTAAAGATCTCAGCCTTGGAAACCTTAGGGGCAGTTCTTCTCTGTCCTGTAGGGTCGCAATGAGTCAGAATTGACTTGACAGCAGTGGGTAAAGCGGGCAGTGTTAGTATAGGAAAGGCTAGATGGCACGAGGCCTCAAAGGCCAAGGTGAGGATTTAGACTTTATCCTGAGAACAATGGAGGGCCATTGAATTTTTTTTTTCATATAAATTTTTTTACTATAGGAAATTTCAAAAATAAAAGTAGAATAATATAATGCGTACCCCATGTCCCCATCGCTCAGCTTCATCAATTGGCACCTGTTGGCCTCAGTCTTCTTTCATTTCTACCTCTACTCTCTTCCCCTCTTCTGTATGATCTTGAAGCAAATCCCAGATGTTATTTCATCCATAAATATTTCAGTATTTCTCTAATATACAAGAACTCATTTTATTGTAGTGAAATTACACATTACAAAACATATGCCATCTCGACAATTTCTGCATGTACAGTTCAGTGGCATTGAACACAAGGGCGCTTAAAACATTATCATTCATCATTATCATTCCTGAAAAATATGAATAGTGACCTGAGGAAGGTTTAAGCAGCGTGCTCTCAGCTTGTCTGTCTCCGGGTCCATGTCTCTCTGTTCGACTCTTGTTGGTCTCTGTCCTTTGCCTTCTTGAGTTTTATGCCCCTCTGTGTCTCTGTCTGTCTCTCTTCATTTCTGTGACTCAATGTTAGTCTCTCATCAGCCTTTCTGTCTTTGTCTCCGTCTCTCTGTGTCTTTGTATCTCAGTCTCTCTCCATCTTGATGTCTCTTGCTGTCCTTGGTGGCCTGTGATCTCTGAGCCCCTGTCCCCTGCAGCTCTTTGAAGGCATGAAGGCGTTCAAGGGCCAGGACCAGCGGGTGCGTCTCTTCCGACCGTGGCTCAACATGGACCGCATGTTGCGCTCAGCCCAGCGCCTCTGCCTGCCGGTGAGGAGCCCTGCCCTGAGTTAAGAGGGGGGTGCGAGCTGGAGCCAGGCCTGGAGGGGGCTCCCCTGACTCATCCCGACATCTGCCCAGAGTTTCGACAAGGTCGAGTTACTCGAGTGTATCCGCCGGCTCATCGAAGTGGACAAGGACTGGGTTCCGGAGGACCCTGGCACCAGCCTCTATGTCAGGCCGGTGCTCATTGGCAACGAGGTGGGCGACTCCCAGGGGTGGGGGGGCTAGGGCCGGGACTCTGGGGAGGGAGGGGAGAAATTAGGGAGCAGGACTCTTGGGTCTGAGGGAGGAGGGGCTAGGGGCTGGGGGCTGGGATTCCTGGGGCTATGGGGGGAGTGCAGACTCCCCACCTGGGGAAGAGCAAACCCCTGGGTCTGGGATGGAAGCCTGGAGACCTGGACTCCTGGGTCCCTGATGCCCCCTCCCCTCTATCCTTCGCAGCCCTCGCTGGGTGTCGGCCTCTCCACGCAAGCCCTTCTCTTCGTCATCCTCTGCCCCGTGGGCTCATACTTCCCCGGAGACGCCGTGACCCCTGTCTCCCTCCTGGCGGACCCAACCTTTGTGAGAGCCTGGATGGGCGGGGTTGGCGACTGCAAGCTTGGGGGGTAAGCAGCGCCTGCCCAGGCCCTGGGGTACTGGCTGTGGAGACACAGGTTCCCACCCATGTTTTCCCGTGTGTCTTTGGCACATCCCTTGTGCTCCCTGGCCCTGTTCCATGCCCCTGGGAGAGGTCTGTGACACGCTTGCTCAGAATCTTGGTTTCTGCCGGGGCTCAGTGTCATCTCCCCTGAAATTAAACTGTCGGAGGAGGAGGGGGTTATTTTACAGCTGGACAAAAAGGCTCCGAGGCAGGATGGGTTGGCTGAACGTCGGTGGGGAGAAACCAGGTGACATCAAGTTGACTGTGACTCATGGCAACCCCGTGTGTGTCAGAGTAGGACTGTGCTCCAGTAGGGTTTTCAGTGGCTGATTTTCTGGAAGTAGATCTCCAGGCCTTTATTCTGAGGTGCCCCTGAGTGGACCTAAACCTCCAACCTTCTGGTTAGCAGCCAAGTACATTAATTGTTTGCACCACCCAGGGACTCCCTGGCCCTCAGAAAGCCTCCAGAAATGAAGTTTAGACTTAGTTCAATGATCTCTCCCCCAGGAAGCCTCCCCTGAACACCCAGGCTTGGCCACCAAGGCTCCTCACCCTCATGTGGACTTTCTGTGTAAATCTGCCTCCCCTGGGGCTTTGACTCAGTGAGGCAGGGAGGAGACAGTTGAGTCTCCTGGAGCATTCTGTGGTGGTCCAAGGAGAAGGGCAGTATGGGTCCTGTTCGGACAGGAAGTGTGCCCCAACTGGGGATTCTTGTGGTTCTTTCCACACACATCTCCTGCGGTCTCCTGAAGGCCAGGTCCTGTGTCTGGTGACACTGGGACACAGATGAGTCAGATCAGAGCCGTGCCCCCCGCCAAGGGTTTCAGGCTGATGGAAGCCCCACAGTCCAGAGCAATGTTTGCTCCGGGAGGGGACCCAGAGCATCGTGAAGGCCCAGCGAAAGCCTGACCAGGCCTGGGTGAGTTGGAGGGCTTCATGGAGGAGGTGACTCCTCAACTGAGGCTGTTAGGGAGGAAGGAGATGGTTTCCTTGGTACAAAAAGTGGTAAACAATTTCTAATCTTAGGGACCAGCATGTGGGGTCGGGGGAGGCAGGGCCATGGACAGCATCCAGGGAAGAAAAACAAGTCCAAATTTTTGCAAAAGGCTGAGCAAGTGGTTATGGGCCAGGCTAGGCCTTGAATACCAGGCTGAGGGGCTGGGATCTTGTCCCAGGGGCACTGGGGAGCGATGGAGGGCTGTGAGGCAGGGAGGGGCAGGGTCTGCTCGGGTGTGGAGAGACTCTTTTGGGACCATGTGGTGCAAGACGGGCCCCAGCCAACCAGGCTGCCTTCCCTCCACCAGGAACTACGGGCCCACGGTGTTTGTGCAGCAGGAGGCGAAGAAGAGGGGCTGCCAGCAGGTCCTCTGGCTGTACGGACCCGACCACCAGCTCACCGAGGTGGGCACCATGAACATCTTTGTCTACTGGACCCACGAGGATGGGGGTGAGCCCACCCAGGACCCAGCGAGGGCCTGGCCTTCTACTGGACCCCACGGGGGATGCCGGTGCCAGACGATGCATTCCTAGCAGATCTCAGGCCCCAGGGATTCTGGGGGTTGTGTTGCCTAAGAGGATGGGGGTGGGGTGGGCATGAGGGTGTGAGGTAACACCCCCAACCCCTTTTGCCTGACCAAGTACTGGAGTTGGTGACTCCCCCACTGGACGGTGTTATCCTGCCTGGAGTCCTCAGACAGAGCGTGCTGGACCTGGCTCAGAGCTGGGTGAGGGCGCGGGGATGATGGGACGGGTGCATTGGGGGCTGGAGCATCAGGGGTCTGTAGTGGGGGAGCTGGGGCACACCCGCCCATCTCTGGGTCTCTGCCTGCTTCTCTCCGGCTTTCCGTGTCGCCCCTTGGATCTCTGGGAGGGGGAGGCAGGGGACTGCAGCAGGGCCACCCTCTAGGCTCACATGCATCTCTGCCCCTTCCCCCCTCAGGATGAGTTCCGGGTTGCCCAGCGAAAGGTCACCATGAAGGAGTTGCTGCGGGCGCTGGCGGAGGGGCGGGTGCGCGAAGTCTTTGGCTCAGGCACCGCTTGCCAGGTCTGCCCGGTGCACAAAATCCTGTATCAAGGCAAGGTAAGACAGGGCTGTCTTTGGCGGTGGGAGGGAAGAAGGGGGAGATGCCTGGTCCTCATGGCCCCTTTTTCCCCAGCAACTTCACATTCCCACCATGGAAAATGGGCCTGAGCTTATCCTCCGCTTCCAGAAGGAGCTGAAGGCTATTCAGGTGAGGTACACCCACAGGGCTAATAGGCAGGACGCTTTGTTCCCTAGAGAAGTTCACATCCTATGAGCTTCTGAACTGAAAGCTCATTTCCCCTCTGATAGTCTGAGAAGCAGATAACAGCCCCTCCCATCAGCCTTTGGGGCCCTGGGCTGAGTCTGCATTCCATAAAAATCTGTGGCCCAAAGCACCCCCCTGGGGCTAAATAACCTTTTCCTGTGAACCTGTGGAACCCTGGGCTTACTCTTTGGCCTGAGAAATGCCCCTTCCCAAGAGCTCTGCGACCCTTGGGAAACTGGTGTGACAAATCCCCTTCCCGTGAGTCACTGCGACCCTAGGTATCCCTCTGGTGTGAGAAATCCCCTTCCCATGAGCCTCTCGGACCTAAGCCACCTGTCTGGCTTCAGAAGTCGGCCTCCTATGAGCCTCTGAGCCCTTGGTTATCCCTTTGGCATGAGAAATCTTCCTCCCACGAGCCTCTAGACATCGGCTCCCTTTCTGACCCAAGAATAGTTCCTCCCATGAGCCTCTGGAGGCATTCCCATTCTTCTGAGCTGAGATATCTTTTCCAAGAACCTGGCACTCCAGACCTAGGACAACCTTCTAGTGAGCTTCTGTAAGCTCCTGTTCCTTGGGACCTAGAACTACACCTCGACCATCCAGGCTTTCCTAGCTAAGAACTACTTTTCCCAAGAGCCTTCGGAACCTTACAGTAACTCCTTTCTACAGAACTCTGTCTTCTTCAAGCTTCCGCGCCCTGTTTGTCATGATCCCCCCTCCCCATGATTGTTAGCGGGCTTTTAGGAATTGGACTACATTTCCCATGAGGCTCTGGGGCGCAATTTCGTAAGCGCTCTGTGTGGGACGCCCCAGGGGCTGCTGGGAGTTGCAGTGCAGCCTCCTCCTCACGCTCCGCCTCCGTTGCCTCGCAGTACGGAACAAGAGCCCACGAGTGGATGCTCCCGGTGTGACGCTGCGGGCTATGCTCCACCACCCTCGGATCCACTGACGTGTAGCGTTTAGCTCCTGCCAGCCCTCGCCCACTTCCCACCAATGACGCACTTGAAGTGCAATATGAAAGAAAAGACCGGTTGCCGGGCCGCCTGAGTCTCGGGCGCCCCCACGTGGTAGCTACATCCCAAAGCCATAAGGGCTGGACCCAGGCGTCCTGGCCCCTAGCCCCTCCTCTCGGGCCTCGGGGATTTGTTCCCCCACTGCGCCATGTCGTGTGGTCAAGACTCAACATCTCTCCGTTCTCTGGCCGGAGCCCCCGGTGCTGCCGTTGATTTTCTTTCTTGCTGCAATTTTGAAATAAAATCCCAAAGATCAAGACTTAAGCCGTCATCTCCAGTGATGCGACTCGGGGACCCTGGAGTCTTAACCAGGAAACCCTGTTCTCAGCCCGTTTCTTTCTCAGGGACTCAGCAAACCGAGCCCCAGTGTCCTGGCGATCTCTCCTCTCCTGGAAGAGGCCTTTCCATTTCATCCCAAACTGAGTTTGACATCTTTCCCCACCATTCCGCTCCTCCCTCTGCTTACCTACCTTGGGAACAGCCACATTGTTCATCTAGTCACTAGGTCCCATTCTTCCTGCCCCCTAACTCTCTGTGCGCTCGGCCACGGCTCCAGCTCAGGCCTTGTCTTCCCTTGCCTTGACCCTTGTTCCAACCTGTTCCCTGGACTCTGGCCTCTTGTCTGTCCACTACATGGCCCCAAAGGGGTCTTTCTACACCCAGACCTGCCCCTGCCCTTCCCCTGCTCACAGCCTTCCTATGGCTCCCCAGCACCCTAGCCAGTACTGCAGATGATGGGCCCGAGGGTGACGCATGATACTGTTGGAGGAGGTGAACATCAAAAAGTTTCTAAAATCTATTAGCAGCCAACAATCTACCCCATGCACAAAGGAACAAAACACTGCCTAGTCCTTCTCTGTCTGCATGGTTGGTTGCAAATAGGACCTTGTGATCCATAGAGTTTTCATTGGCTGATTTTCAGAAGTAGATCGCCAGGCTTTTCTTCCTAGTCTGTCTTAGTCTGGAAGCTCTACTGAAACCTGTTCAACATCATAGAAGCACACAAACTTCCATTGACAGATGGGTGGTGGGTGTGCATGAGGTGCACTGGCCAGGAATCCAACCCAGCCCTCCACATGGAAGGCAAGAATTCTACCTCTGAATTACCATTGTCTCATTTCTAAAATCTATTGTTGTTGTTGGGTGCTGTCAAGTCAATTTAGACTCATAGTGACCCTGTGTGACAGAGTAGAACTGTCCCATAGGGTTTTCTTGGCTGTTATCTCTATAGAAGATTTCTGGGTCTTTCTCCCATGCAGCCGCTGAGTGGGTTTGAACTACAACCTTTTGGTTAGCAGCAAAGCGCTTAACTGTTGCGCCACTAGGGCTTCTTTTCTAAAATTTACTCCTCGTTTATCCATTTGTGTGATTCTGCGTGTCCTAATCCTTCCTGTCACACATATTTAAATAATCTCTATGGCACAGTGATGAAGAGCTCCAGCTGCTAACCAAAAGGTTGGCAATTTGAATCTACCAGGCACTCCTTGAAAACCCTATGGGGCAGTTCTACTCTGTCTTATAGGGTTGCTATGAGTCGGAATTGACTAAAAGGCAATGGGTTTTTTTGTTTGTTTGTTTTTTAATGTGGAAAAAACCAGGCATGTCTGGATTCAAACCTGCCTCTGTGATCAGCTTGCTGTGTGGCCTTGGGCATGTGACTTTATCTCTCTGGTCCAGTTTGCTGTGGCAGGTCACAGCCCTGCTGGAGGCAGACCCTGTGGAACTATTGGAGAGACACTGTGGCCTGTGCATCAGCCTTCAAGCTTCTGCATTGCAAGGAGAATTCCAGTGTGTTGGGGCAGCAAACAACCTATTGACACACCCTCTCATTCCCTCTTGTCAGTGATTGCTCAAAGCAGTTCCTAGGCCAAGGAGAGAAAAAAGCATTGCCATGGAGTCCATTCCAACTCATAGTGACCCTATAGGAGAGAGTAGAACTGCCCCATTGGGTTTCCAAGGAGTGGCTGGTGGATTTGAACTGCCAGGCCAAGGAGAAGCTAGGGGAAATTTGCTGGGGGCCTTTACGAAAGCTTTCATTCCCTGGGAAAAGAATCGAGGAGGGCTTATTCTTTTCTTCCCGTCCTGCTTTGGCTGTGCAGTGTGATGCTCGGAGCTGCTGCAGCCATTTTGTGCCCAGCAAGAGTGCTGCTGCCCGCACACTGAGGGTGGCAGAGCACAAAGATGAGAAAACCAGGGTCCTTCAACCCTGAAACCTCTGATTTCCGGATTGTTATGTTTTGTTTTGTTTTTTAAGTCAAAATAAAACAAAAACCTGTTTAAGCTAATTTTGTCAGGTTGTTCGTTATTTGCAGAGTGTTTAGTTTGTTTTGAGTGGGGAGGGACTTGCAGCCAAAAACCTTTTTCCTTTTTCGTGTTTCTCTGTGGCCAGAGCTGATTGTGCCCAAGGAGAATTCCTGACTCCAGAGTAGCCAGTTTAGATGTTGACAGTGACCTGGCCCCAAACAAAGACCAAAGGTGAAATTTCTAAGAGGCCCTGAGAGAATGATCAGGAAAGGATAAGTGGCCCTTGTTATGAGATAAACAGGGTCAGAGGTCATCCTGAGGAAACACGCTCAGAGAAATCACTTTTGTTTTTGGAAGATCACTTGAAGTAGTAGAAACAGAGTAAACAGGAATATGTTGGCACGTAATAGTTATTGTTGTTTTTAAATGGATTTTTTGAAAACCAGTTGCTGTCCAGGTGACTCCGACTCATGGAGACCCTATGTGTATCAGAGTAGAACTGCCCCACAGGGTTTTCTTGGCTGTAATCTTTATGAAAGCAGATTGCCAGGCCTTTTGGTACCACTAGGAGGGTTTGAGTGTCCCTGGTGGTGACTTGGTTAAGTATTTGGCTGCTAACCAAAAGGTTGGCAGTTCAAATCCTCCAGCCGCTCCTTGGAAACTCTGTGGGGCAGTCCTACTCTGTCCTATAGGGTTACTATGAGTCGGAATCCACTCGATGGCAGTGGGTTTGGTTTGGTTTTTTTTTGTTAGGAGGGTTCGAACCGCCAACCTTTAGGTTAGTCCACAGCAAAACGTTTGCTGCCACCTAGGCAGCAGGAACACGTAATACCTAATAATAATAATGATAGTAAAACAGATAACACCCATATATGCTTTCTATGTTAGAAGAAAAATAGTGAAGAATAAGATTAAATTGAGTGGAAAGAAAAACTAAATATTTAAAATACACGAGGGTAAATAAATCTCGACTAAAGTAATAGCGTAACTGCAGAGAGTTCAGGCTCTGCCGCCAGGTGCATCGCCTACAGCGCCATCTGGCGGCCAGTATTGAGCATAAAGTCACACAGACCGGAAGAAAAAGACTGAATACAATTTCAGTAGTTTTGAAAGTGTGAATAGTTAAACACGTTTTCATGCCAACCACAGTGGTGGTTCTGTGGTAGAATTATCATATTCCATCTGAGAGACCCAGGTTCGATTCTCATCCAGTGCACCCCATGCGTCGCCACCACCCATCTGTTAGTGGAGACTTGTGTGTTGCTATAATACCGAAAAGGTTTCAGCGGAGCTTCCAGACTGAAACAGAGTAGGAAGAAAGGCCTAGTGATCTACTTCCAAAAATAAAAATTAACTAATAAAGACCCTGTAGTCTGATCCACAACCTGTCATGGGGATGGCTGGGCAGCGTTTCTTTCCGTTGAGCATGACTTGGGGTCGACTTGACAGAGGCTAACAGCATAAAACTTTACAAACATTTCGAGGAACATCTGTTTGGGAAGACTCGCTTTAGGTGATGCTTAAGAAACACTGGCTTATAAAGCGTGCAGGATGATAAAGGCTCCTTTCCTAAAGTGCACAGAATAATAAAAGATTTCCTAAGGCTTCCTCTGCTCCTGGTACGAGTTCTATTTCTACAGCATTTCTTTCATCTTCATTGACAGATGAGGACACAAAGATTGAGCCAGGTGAGTTCCCCTGCCCCAGATCACTCCAGCAGTAAAGGTGCTGGAGGAACCCAGTCAGTCTCCCTCCAGTGCCCACATCCGAAGAAATCTATTGCCGACATAAAAAAAAGTTGGTGAAAATATACACGATCATACACCATTTCAACAATTTCTACATGTACAATTCAATGACAGTGATTACATTCTTCAAGTTGTACAAACATTCTCACCAACCTTCTTCAAATTGTTCCACCACCATTGACTTAAACTCACTGCCCCCTAAGCTTCTCATCTAACCTTTCTAGTTCCTATTGTCAGTTTGATCTCGCACAGATAATTCTTTTAAAAAGGCACTGTAAAAATGGCGGAGGGGGGCAGCAACTGACCTCCTCTAACTTCACAAGGCGGAAGGAGAATCAAGATCAGCAGCCCAAGGCTGATTCCTATGAGGCGGAGGTCAGACATGCCTCCTCTCTCTGCCATCTTTACCAACTCTGCCACCTCCCTGTCCCTCCCATGGCACTCTCTACTTCTGTGCTGGGTTTGATAATTCATTACAATGGCCACACAGAACTCATAGACAATACTCATGATTATGGGGTTTATTAGGAAAGTAACAGGTTACAATTCAGGTTCAGGAACACTCAGGATACAGTTCTTCCATTAGGACAGCCTCTTCCCAGCTGTGCCACAAGCGCACCTCTCTCTGGCCTCTGGGCCTCTGCCCTGCTCAGCTAAGTGTTACAAAGCTCTTTTAGCTCTGCCAGTAAGCACCCCACTCTGCCAGTAAGCCTCAGCCCAAAGGTGCTCAGCTCTAGCTCCGTGGTCAGCAAACCTAGCTTCGCTAAGTGCCCAGAAGCACCTTACTCCTCCAGCTTTCTCGCTCCGTGGGCAGGGAAGCCCTCCAAGCCATCTCTTGCTGGTCTCTCCCGCCGGTCTCTCCCACCACTGTTTCTCTGCCACTGCATCTCGCTCTTCAGTGTTACAGCTCTCTCTCTGTCTCCTGGGTCCAGGAGCTTCTCAGCACAGGGATTCCAGGTCCAAAGGATGCACTCTCCACTCGTGGTTGTTCTTCCTTGGTGGTGGTAGGATCCTCCCACTGCTCTGGAATTGGCTCTCTTTCAAGACAAAACTGACCGATCCCCCTGGTGGGCCACAATTGCCTTATTTGCACAGTCCCACTCAATCACTTGGGTAGGAGATACAAGACCATGGAAAGACAGGCCACACAAAAGCAATCCATCACACCGCAAGCACAAGGCTCAAGTATATGCCTACATTTACCATGTAATTTCAAGAGGTTTAGGAATTCAACTCTGATCCATTAACCCCT